AACTAAGGAACTCATCCAAGACAAAAACTTGACATATCACTGTTTTCATACGTGTTTATAATAGAACACCACAGACGTCATTGTGTCTTAACAGTGTCATAGGCCAACATTCACTTTTCTTCAGCTGACTGAGAGGATGTGCTAATTTTATCAAGTGTCTCTCTGTAGTTCAGTTACATTTCATTGCAAACTAATGTAATATAATAATGCCTTAAGCACATTATTCCATAACGAATCATCCCGCTTTAATGTGCGGGACCTCTGTTAAATATGATATGAAGACATGTTAATGTAAAAGATGTTTGCATATTATTAAGATATCAAATAATAACATCTAAAAAAATATATATTAAATTGCGACTTAAAAATGTGGGGCTTTGTGTCATGCATTATGAATGAGGCAAGTTGTTTGAAAAAAGGCGAACAAGGGAAAAGAAAAGGCTTATACTGAGTTGTAGTGCTGGGCTATATCATACCGTTCACAGTAATACCGGTGTAATGTTGGGCAACGATAGGAAAATGACATATTGCGATAGAATATGGGTAAAACGCACATGCGCAGTGCCATTGTTTACATACGCACATGGCTGCGACGAAGAATGAGAAGAGCGAAAGTGGATCGTTGAATGAAACGGATGAACCAGAACTGGTTTGTAAAAATGCTGCAACTTCAGTGGTGTGGAACTGGTTTGGCTTTCGTCCGTCAGATATACAACAAAGCACTATTTTTGGTAGAGCATGCTAGCGGGCCGTCATTATTACCGTGTTGTTTGGAAAATACGGCACACTTAAAATCAATCCTTTGATTTTTCAGAAAATCGACAGTGCCCCTTATAATCCCGTGTGCCTTATGTATGAACTCTGGTTGTGTTTACTGACCTCGAAACGATTTTATGTACACGGTGCTCGAAAATCTGTCAAATGTTTCTGTACGACTTTGCTAAGCTACGAAGCCGCACCGCTTGATGGATTGTCGGAGCGTTACGGCTATCGTAGGGAGGAGCCTCGGAGTGATACGTACTGTGCTTCAACATAAGTGTTTGTATAACCTCTTTTTAAGTTTTGTGGATATTATACATGGTTATGCTGAGGATATGTCGGCCAATTTCCACTGGAAATGCCTTTTGGTTAAACTGTCAGCAAGGATTTGCATTTGCACTGCAAATTTTTATATAACTTTAATGCACTTAAAAAGCTGCTTGTGTAAGTGCAAAGTACATTGATGGGTTGGTTTTTTTTTTGCACTAATAAAGTTTTAGAGTTGTAAAGTATTTTGTCTAGTGTCAATTATATCGTCAGTTGTGTCGTTATCGCAGATTTTCAAATGTATATCGTGATAGACATTTTTGGTCATATCGCCCTGCTCTACTGAGTTGTATGAGAGGCTGGACACTGACAAAGAAGAAAGGAAGCTTTTTAGCTTGATGGGCAGCAGGTCAGGGTGACCGAGTAAGCCAAGAGAAGAACTTTGGTACTGTATCAGGAAACTAGATGTGGTACAGAAGTATGTGAGGGTGGTGCAGGACATGTATGTGGACATCGAGACAATGGTCAGGTATGCCTTAGGAGTGACAGATAAGTCCCTTTTCCACTAGTACCTACTCAGATCGACTTGCAACGGTTTTAAAGGTTTTCCATTAGGCATAGTACCTGGTACTGAAATACTACTTGCTCGGCCATGGTTCCAAAGTGAAAAAATTAAAACCACCATTTTTGAAACCCAGCAACGATAGAAAAGCTTCAAAAAAAAAAAAAAACCCAACACAGTGGCCCGTGACTCTGACGAAAAGCCACAGACCAAGCAGCAGATATATCCACACCCCGACGTCCACCTTTGTTGTAGCGTTCGTATCTAACGCTAATCAGGTCACAAGATGCTCAGCCACATTGCTATAGCGATGACCACACACATTATAAAATAATCATAAAATAAATAAATTACCTTAACGCTTTGCATTGTATTTGATGCACAAGCAAAATGTGACTAGGTGGAGAGACACTGTTCAGTTCTCTCAAAGAAAGCAAACTTACAAATTCAGCAAGAGACCAATTAATTATTTCGCCCTCTATACAATTAAAACATCACTATCTTAGCGCCTAATGAGCCTTAACATAGAAAGAAAGCCATCAGTAAAGTAGGAAACCCTAATACAGAGACAGCCAGTAAAGACATTTGAAAGCCAGATCCAATCAAAGACAAAATTCAAAAAGATAGGGAGAAAAACAGCGGGAATTAAACAGACTAAAAGGACATCCCCTTGTTTAGTAGAACGGGAACTAACTCAGTCACTTGTTTCAAGTCTTACTGAATATAACATGACAATAACAATTGACAATCAATCAATATAACAATTTGATAGTCCCTTTTAGATCGAAAAGGATGATAAGGCAGGATATCCTTGACCAGGCGACTGGCAGGTCAAGACACTATGAGTGTGCCAAACTTCTTAGCTGTTACCAGCTGTGGCGGCATGGCTGCCACTGTTTTCATGTTTTGTATGCTTGTGTGTGTAATAGAGTCATCAGGACACAACATGGTAAGAGACAGAAGCTCTGGCTTCTGAGCAGGAAAATGCTGCTCAGAGTATAATTGGATAAGAGGCTTACTTTGTGTCATGTTAGGGGCTTTCCATTATGGCAGCAACTGGAAACCATTAGAGCAGCCCTTCAAAGGGTCAGCCAGGCTGGTCAGTGTTTCTCTCTGTGGACTGGTGTTCCCAGTGCAATGTAAATACATAAGAGCGAAGACACCACTAATGTTTCTTTGATGGTTTTTTAGTAATATCAGTAAATGCTCAAAATGACCAGCAGAAAAGTTCATTTCGAAAAAACAACTGACAGAAGCTTTGACATCAGCTGACCCAGCTACTGTGTCTGGCCTTAGTTTAAACATATGGCTATGATTGTACTATGTGTTGTTTCGTTTCCGAAGATATCCCTGTGCTTTTTTAAGAATATCCTGTCTATGCTGGTCACAGCTAAAACAATAGTGCATCCTGTCTGCCTGCTTCCAAGTCCGGATCAAGTCTTAATGTGTTCATACTTGTGTTGAAGACTCATTGCACCAACACACCTTAGCTTTAAAAATATGTTTAAAATATGCAGAAAAGCCAGCAGCTGCTGTTGGAATTGGGAGTGTGACTTGGCAACACTTTATCAAGATTGAATGATGGGCCCTTTGTCAGCTTGCCTTTGTTTAACCCAAGTTGGTGATATCAATTAAAGTGAACAAAGAGACACAGAGGGGCCTGCTGTTTAACATACATAAAAAAAATCAACAAAACGGATCATTCTGTGGTGTGCAGAATGTTTGCGTACTTGACCAAAGATTGTCTATACACTTAAAACAAAGTTCCCTCCGGTGTACACTTCCTGTTTGCTTCATGAAAACTTTAGAAGTTCCCCACATGACACAAGTAAGTCCTTACCCAGTACTCAGAGCAGCATTTTCCTAACAAACAGCCACTGTAGAGAAAGACCTCCTCAGTTAGCCACTGCCTCTGTCTCCTGTTTAGAAAAAGGCAGCATGGGCTGCACAGTCACTCCCTGCATCCCAGAGGAGATGAATTCCATTGTGGGAGTAGGGGATCAGAGTCTCTTTCAGCCTGACTGTGTCAGAAGGACTCTTGATCCAAAGCCAAACAAAGTCCTCTGATACTGCCAACTATGCCCTGATCGGGACACTGAGCCCGCTGGAGTAAACTCAGATGCTGTTAAAGCCAGGTATCTATACAAATAGCGCAAACTGAATGTAAGATTTTCAGCTACAAAGTATTACAACTGTTCAAGGATCCAAATATAAAGCAGAATCAAACAAAGGGGGGGATCAGCAAAATATTACCATCTTTACTTGTCTAATCATTGCAATTCTACTCAGCGGGTTATTGAAAATGTTGTTTTGTACATTATGACAGCTAAACACGCAATCATCAATACAAGTTTCATTAACACTGCGTTCAGTTGCCATTAGCATACGAGGTGGATTTTCAAATTAAAAGCTTAACAGAAAATACACAATTATGCCCAGTGAATCACCATTACAACCTACATACTGTTAAACATCTGTGAAGTGTTGACAGTAGTTTAAATTGGTAAATGTGACAGGAAAGAATTAGTAAATGAAAACAGTAATTCTGTCAACGAAAAGCTATTGAGCCGTACGATATCGAGTCAGTGGTTGTACTGATGAACTCAGTGCTGTGTAAACACACATTATGCTGAGTGTATCAGCACTTCAGGTAAAAATGAAGGAAAAGCTGACTTTGCAGAAATGGAAGTCTGTGCCAAGCTGCTGCTGAGGAAGGGCTCTGTAAAGGCTAAAACCTAAAAATACATCAATCATCTAGCTACACCCTCACCACTAAGGTCAGCATTTTCACCTGCCTTTGCCAGATGACAGCAGTCAAAAATGACTGAAAATGTAAGATCAGAAGGTCATCAGAAGGGTTTAGAGGCTGCAGAAGAAACCTCACACAGAAGCAGGAAGAACAAACTAAACAAAAAGGTCCAGAACATTCTTGTTGTAAAAAAATATATATTATTAACTTGGGTGTGGTAAGGGTTAGGTAATTATAATAAAATCAAAAAGGGTTTAGTCAAGAAAAAGAGGCGGAGTAAGAAAATTCTGTTTAGAGCCTTTTAAGTGAGTTTGAAATGAGTGGACAAAAATATAATTTCAAACCATGAAAGGGAAAATAAAAGTCATCTTTGCTATATTCAATCAGCAGCACAAAACGTATGTTTTAAAGAAAGTTTTAATCTCCAGGCTTCTTCTAACAATTAACTTATAAACTAGAAAACAATGAGCAATTGATAAAGAATAATATAAGCAGAGGAACACCCAAATTTTACATCTCGGCAATAGAGACAATTACTCTGTACTTTTTACATGTTTGAAAGGTGCATGGCTTTTCAAAATCAAAATATGCAGAACTGACAAAAAGGTTGTATGCCACTGCTGATCACCAACAAAGCAATATATAAGTGGAAGAGGTTCTTACCAGTCTGGCCTCCCTGCGCAGCCCCTCGGTGTTCCTCAGCCAGAAGCGACTCAGCTCACTTAACTCCAGTATTGGCTGCACCTTCAGCCTCACCGTGTCTCCTGACTGACGGATCATCTCCACTATCTCGTCTCGACTCTTATTCTCCACATTTCGTCCATTTATCTCCACCAGCCTATCGCCTGGCACCAGGCCCAGTGCCAGGTCCTTAGTGCCTGCACCAGGCTCTGCAAAGTGAACCACACGTCTGTACACCCCTCCATCAGGGCTGCGGTCCAGCATTGTAGTGCGACGCAAAGAAAATCCAAAGTCACCAGTGTTACGGCGCTGGAGTTCCAGTTCACGGGTTTCAGGTGGACTTGGAGCAACCACAGCTGGCAGCTGGAGTTGTGCAGGGAAGGTTTTATCGACCACTTCGGGAATGCAGATTCTTTTGGGGGCTTCTGCTCCAGGCTGCTGCTTGAGGCTGTGCTTGCGGAGCATGCTGAAAACTTTACTCTCCACCTGTGGGGATGGGGCAGCAGAATTCTGGCCTGAAGGGGTGGATCCCTCTGAAGGGCTCTCCTCTTTGCTTCTCTGGGAAAAGGAGAAGCGTTTCATCATCTGTGTAGAGTTCTGCTTGGCAAGTGAACCAAAGTGAGCAACTCGATCTCGCACTGAGCTGCGTTGTCCATCCTGTCCTCCTCCACCCTCACCCTTCAGATCATCATTGGAGCTGGCAATGCTTAGTTGGTCATCCAGGATCATGCTGCTTCGGTTACTCAAGCCATCTAATTCAATATCAGTGAGGGGGAGATCACTGGTGCTGGCCACTTTGATGGGAATGGGGTTGGAAATCTCAAGCTTGTTCCTGGATTCCCGCTTCGACTCCCTCTTCAGGTTGAAGAAACCACGGCGCATGCTCATCTCCTCCAGACTGCGCAGCTCTGCTGCAGACATCCTCTCCTTTTTCTCCTTCTTCTCCTTCTCCTTTTTCTTTAGATTAAACATTGTGGCACTAAATTAACTTAGTGTTCCCTTTTTGGCTGAACTGACTTCAGGTCAGGTGTGTTTGCTATGATCCAGCGAGGAAAGGCTAAGAATTAAGAAAAGAGAGAGACAGAGAGAACAATTTCTGTTAAACTGCTAAATATTACAGTAACTGCTCTCCATGCACACCAGTGCGTGTCCATGAGTGTATTTAGTGGTATATGTGACTGTTATATATTGCGATGTTGGTATTTTAAAATATTATACATCACTGATTTGTGCATAAAGTAGGACAGGACATTGCGGCGTGCAGCTCGGATCTCAGCTGACCCCTCTCACCCTGGACACAGTCTGTTTGACCTGTTCCCCTCAGGCAGGAGGCTCCGGTCCATTCGCACCAGAACCTCTCGCCATAAGAACAGTTTCTTCCCCTCTGCTGTTGGACACATGAACAATAACCATATGACTGTCCCCGCCACTAACACATGACCCTACGCTGTGTCACTGCATCATTCCATGTTTGGCACTGATCACCACCTGCACTCATGCACATATCTTTCTACGTAGCACTTTTAATTCTTATTCCTACTTTTATTTTTTTCATGTCTATTTAAGTGCTATTTATGACACTATGTTTGCACTGAAGCACCGCAGCAATTTCCTAATGTTGTAAACCTGCTCAACATTTGGCAATAAACCCCTTTCTGATTCTGATTCTGAATATTTGTTGTAAACTAGTTCTGTAATTGTGGCAATTTATGAATTTAAGTGATAATTTCTGAATATATAAGAGACATGAATTGTCCGGTTATCGGATCAGATGGCGATGTTAAACGTTATTTGGCTTGTTGATGACTGCACTGACATTCTGAGTGGACTGTTATGCAGGTGTGACATGCCTAGCACCTAGAAAAATGTGCTTGTGCGAATGGGTGTGAATGGGTGAATGCACAAGTTGTGTAAAGCGCTTTGAGTGCTCAGAAGAGTAGAAAAGCGCTATATAAGAACCAGTCCATTTACCATTTTACCATTTACCTAATAGCCAGGAATCCCTAATTGGCTGAATCTTACTCAATGTGTATATATGCGCAAACGTGTATGAACACTGTTTCTTTGTACCTGACGAAGGTCACACAGACCAAAAGGTTGTAACTGAATAAAAAATTAAGGTAAGCAGGACAGTGTGCGGCTGTAACAGCGATAATGAAAGAATAATGATTCCCTAATGTTTTCACACACCTAGAACAGTCAGACAGGCTAAGAAAATTGCCTTTTCTCATTAATGTCACAATTAAATAATATAAACAATAATTATTATCAGTATTATTGAAGTCTTCGGACTGTGGGAGAACATGCAAACTCCACACAGAAAGACTCTGGCCTGTTGGTGGAATTGAAGCCAGGACCTTCTGTGGTTACCAACGTGCAGTTAGAGGGGTTAGGTCAACTGGTAACTCTAAATTGCCCATAGGTGCAAATGGTTGTGTGCCTCTATGTGTTAGCCCTGTAATGGACTGGTGACCTGCCCAGGGTGTACACTGGGATAGGCTCCAGCTCCCCCGTGACCCTGACAAGGATAAACGGAACAGACTGGATGGATGTATTATTATTATTATTGCTACTGGTGGCATAATCTGACGACAGACATTTATACTGTCTCATAGTTACATTTTTATATCACTTCTCAGCCTCAACAGTTTAGCAGCACTTTCTGTATTGGAATATGTTTTGTAGTCCCACATTTTTTGTCTGCTTCATTTCATGATTCTGCATGCTTATTTAATGGATTTTTTACCACTGTATTGTTGCATATAGTTAAAAATGTCCGTAATTACACACATAATTTTACAACTATTAAAATGCACAGACCAGATCTAAAACATTTTTTTAAGCTGGCATCAAACGTCTAAGCAAACCTGATTGTTTGCATTGAGCATATGTGTAGACACCCTTGCAAAAAAAAACAGACCTACATCCCTGAACACTTCTAGTATTCTTACATTAAAGAAGCCCACTGGAGAAGCTTGACAAGACCATTTTTGTAAGCCTCACAAATAAGGTAAAGTCCTGCCACAAACTGAAAAGTCCAGGCAGGCACATCCACATGGTTCAGCCTGGTTCTTATAAACTGCTGGGTAATACACAGAGATTCTTATTAACAAAAAATAAAAATAAAAAACCTCCTACTATTTTAACTGTGGAATAGGTGAATTATGTCAGTGATTTCTCCTGCTAAGATAAGTCCGGATTTCCAGCAAAAAAGGTCATTCAGCTGTTATAAAAACCTCATCAGGCAAGAGCCTAAACTGTCAGTTATGAAGTAGTCATATGCTCAAAGGTGTAACAGAATAGCACTGAAAACATCACAGCTATTTATATCTATACAGCAAAACTACCGTGGTAACGTGTTGTACAGATTTACATATAGTGTTTAGCAACACAGTATCAAATAACCGATTTGCCAGAACAGTAAAGGTTTCCTTAACAGTCCGTTCAGATTATTACCTTCTGTCATCAGTAGCCAAAATAAACGAAGAGCGTCTGCACTAAGAGTAGCGTTAGGTCCTATATGCACTGGTTAAGGAATGCTAAAACGCTAAATGGCTTAAGAGTTTTAAGTTGCCTCCCTTTTATCTACTTGGCTTCTGCGGTTAAATCGACACTAATACTTAACCACTAACGTAAACAAAGCGTATTTGTCAGCCGCACTTCTCATTAAGCGTGAAGTCGGGGACAAAAGCATGACAGAGCTAAAATAAGTATAGCTTCTCAGCTACATTAGCTAGCCGAGCTACTGCTTTGTAAATGAAGGTAATGTTACCTAATAATCAAAATCTCTTGTTTTATGCTATTCCAAATGAGAACGCGCCAAAAACACAAGGTTACATATTTTATGTATTTTTTTTTCACTTTTCATTTAGCGTCTAGCTAGCTAACTAGCCTAATTGGCTCAGGTCACAGCCTCAGTTCTTTGCCCTCATTTTGGTAAAGCAAATCCTGGAACACTCTGGGATCCTATGAAAATCATTCAGTCAGCCCCACTGACTGCCTGTCCGTCTCAGCACAGCTGCCTTAACACTAAATGTGCCTTCTCAGTAGAAGCACATCTTATTATAGGAACAGATACTCACAGCTTTCCAATACTTCAAACGAAGCCTCGCTAGTCCCTTGTTAATGGGTGTAGCTCGGCTTGTAGGGAACAGAAACAAGCTTTCAGGCTCTGGTTGTGATAGCAGGCTGCTCCCATTCCAGCTCTGAAGCGTCAATACTGTATCTAAAACGCGGTCAACCTACTCCCCCTTCTGTTCATACAGTGTAACCAGGTACACTACTGGAAAGACGGTTTTTAATTGTGAGTTGTGTATTTAAACTGTACCACTGTACCACAGTATTTGTGCACAGCAGTCGATTATCTTGTTAATAATTCTACTTGTTCACTATGTACGACTCTGGATAATGTAACTCCAGTGAAAAAGAAAGCCTGGGAAAATAGTTT